TAATTTCTACTGTTGGGGGGGTTCACATTAACATACTTTTCTTTTGAAAATCTCTTTTTTATGTTTTTAGATATGTATATGGTATAACATCCTATGCCTATTGCAAAATTATGAAATCTGGCTTACTTTATCTATTCCTTTCTTACAGTATAAAAACATCTGACCAAATTAAGTCATCTTTTTGTTCAGCTTAAGTTTTTTTTTGAAAATGAGAAATTTACGCTAGGCAGGCTACCTCACAGTATCAGACTATACAGACCTTGGGTCACTCTTTGTTAGCATTCTATAAATAATTGAAGCACTATTTTACCGTGCATGTGTATACAATGTATCTAATGTTTATATTTATGTAACCACAAGGATGAAGTACAGTTTTTTAACAGTATTGTCTCCACAACACATACAGAAACATAATAAATTCAGTGAAATTCTTCAGTTACTTGCCGCTTGTAGAAATTCTATGACCACTGTGGTTATCCATCTTTTGGACACATAATCGGTGTGGTCAATAGCAATACAGATCATGTTACCAGTAGACAGTCCAAATTCCATTCATTTTATGTATTTTTAAAAATATTTCTCCATGTCCACATTTGACCCTGCTCTACTAAGCAAACCTTTTTTTTCTGGGCACAGAAAGGAATAATTAAAACATGTTTAATTTTTTTTTTTAATTTCCCACTAAGATTTTCCTTTACTTTCAGACACAAAAGGATGTTGTAAGAGTTCTCACCAAAAACAGTTGTCACCAGAATGAGTATAACCACTGGAATATTTCAGCTCCAGTGACAACTAAACATTTTGCATCTTCCCTCAGTTTCACTTCTGGTGACAGTGGAAATTACATAGTTACATAGTTAGTCTGGCTGAAAAAAGACAAAAGTCCATCCAGTTCAACTAAAAAAAAAAAAAAAAAAAATATAATCCTATACCCACAGTTGATCCACAGGAAGGCAAAAAATCCTAGCAAAGCATGATCTTATTTGCTCCTGCAGGGGGAAAAAATCCTTCCTGATCCCCCGAGAGGTAATTGGATATTCCCTGGATCAACTTTACCTATAAATGTTAGGATCCAGTTATATTATGTGTATCTAGGAAAGAATCCAGGCCTTTTTTAAAGCAATCCACTGAGCTGGCTAGAACCAACTCGTGAAATTATTTACAAATACAGAGGGGTATTCCTGCAATTGGGGCCACAGGCAGCAAAAAACCTTATTGTGAACCAATGTAAGCCACTCAGGCTCCAGAGGATCCTAGTTTATTGCCAACTGTTGGGGAGTACCGGCCAGCAACGGAGCTCGGCTCTGCTCCAGACGTCAACATGTAGTGGAGAAAATATCCCTTGAGCTGCACATCACTACAAATCCACTATGGAAGAGTATGTGGCAGTCTCAGCCCAGGCCATGCCCCAAAAGCAAAAAAACCTTACTGAGATTTTAACTCTTCCTTAATCTACAGATGAAAAATGTGATTATAGATATACTAAAACTTTGGAATTGAATGTCCAAATATGAGAACAAAGTAAAAGGGGGTGGAATTTAGGGATGGCTAAAAAGAGATTTTGCCTGGAATTGGGCTTCAGGATGAGGTTCTTATATAGCCGTTAGATTAACATATAAAATAACATATAACTATATCTGGGAACTTTTTGAAGTGCATGAGCCTGGGATTGAAGATGGAGCAAAGAGTAGGGCTATGCAGATTGCAACAAAATTGAAGCAATGGTTACACCGCACTTAACCACTTGCCTACTGGGCACTTATACCCCAATTTTCAGCTTTCAGCTTTGTCGCATTTTGAATGACAATTGCGTAGTCATGCAACACTGTACCCATATGAAATTTTTATAATTTTTTCACACAAATAGAGCTTTCTTTTGGTTGCATTTAAGCGCTGCCGAGTGTTTTATTTTTTGAGCTATAAACAAAAAGATAGCAAAAAAAAAAATTTTTCCTTTGTTTCTATCATAAAATTTTGCAAACGAGTAATTTTTCTCCTTCACTGATGTGCATTGATGAGGATGCACTGATAGACAGCACTGATGGGCACTGATAGGCAGCACTGATGAGCACTGATAGGCAGCACTGATGGGCACTGATGAGGTGGCATGGATAGGCGGCACTGATGGGCACTGATAGGAGGCACTGATAGGCGGCATTGATAGGCGGCACTGATGAGCTGGCACTGATGATAATGCACTGATAGGCGGCACTAATAGGCAGCACTAATGGGTGGCGCTGCTGGGCAGTACTGATGGGTGGCACTGCTGGGCACAGGTGGGTGGCACTGCTGGGCACAGGTGGGTGGCACTGCTGGTTGGCACTGCAGGGCACAGGTGGGTTGCACTGATGGGCACAGGTAGGTGGCACTGCAGGACACAGTTGGGTGACACTGATGGGTACACGTGGCCGGCACTGCTGGGCACAGTTGGGTGGCACAGATGATTATCAGTGCTAATCACTTCTATGACAATTGCCGGTTATCGGCAGTATTTTCATCACGCTGTGACAGCGTAAGGAAAGTGCAGCCGATATTCGGCAACTGAATTTACCGGTGATCTGCTGTGACATTGGACACAGCTGATCATGTGGTAAAAAGGCCGCCGTGATTGGCCGTTTACCGTATCCTGTGATCAGCTGTGTCCGTAGGACACAACGATCACTGGTGGTGCTGGGTGCGCACAGCTGGGGGCAAGCAGGGAGCGTGTTCTGGAATAATGTCCATGGACGTCAGCCCAGAACCAGACAGCCATGCTGTAGCCATCCTTCGGCTATAGCACGGTAGGGAACCGATTAATGCACCTCAGCAAATTAAAGGGTGTAATAGTGATACATATAGTGTGCTTACGCATTTGTGGAGCTAACAGTGGTGAAGGGAGAAATGCTTTGGTGGTGTCAGTGGGAGGAAAATTGCTTCAAGTCAATGTGATGGGCCTAAAGTGGAAAGTACAGGCGCCTGAGCCTCATAGCAAAATACTATCCTAAGACATGATGACATTTATAGTACACATCTCACTATCCTTGGCTGCAGTGCTGCACTGGCCACCTCTCTTCCAGTAACCATGCAGCCTGCCAACACCACTCACACCAGTAGACCAGCCAATGATTCCAGTGATGTCACACAACCACCAGCACATTATTGACAATCATGTCAATCATTCAAAATACATCCCACTAGGCTTACTATTTACAGTTAGTAGTGTTTACTGATAGGTTGAGGCTACTCATTGGCTGGCCAGATTCACATAGTGTTTCTGTCTCTGAAAAAAGCATTCCCATTGACTGTCGGGCCATTTTTTTGTCTGCTGCATATGGCTAAGCATGCTGAAGTCAATCTAAAGAGCTGTATGGAGCAGGTGGCCAGGGGGTAGTGCTGTGCTGATAAAGCCATCTCCACTTGTTAGTTTCTAAGATGCCATGAGAGGTTGGGGAGGAGATAAATTCTTCTTTCAGCACCTATTCTTTGACGGAAGTGATGCCACCTCAGTCAAGAGGCTGCTGGAGCTTCAATCTTGGCCGTTGTAGTTCCAGTAATCGTACTGATTGGCCAGCAACTCCGACCAATAGTCTACATATTTTTACCTATGCATAAAACAATGGATTAAATTCTATCATGTGGCATAGCCTTGAGTATCATAGACTATACAGTATTATCTAAATTATATCCAAAACTTGATTCCAGACAGTATCATTGAAGAAAATTACCCAGTTTGATGTTTTCATCATTTGTTTTGTGTAGTCTCTGACCCCAGTAACATTCTTCAAACAAAATGTAAATGAACAACAAAATGTGATAAAATATGGCTGTGCTACTGACTTAAGTAGTAAGGATTAGTATGCAGTTTATTATATGCAGCAAGTATATTGCAGTTTTAAAGGAATTTGTATTTAGTTTCCCTACATTATTTTTATTATACTTGATGCATAACTGTTTTACTTCTTGCTTCAAATGTTTCAGCAGATGCCATTGGCCTCCCCAGCACCAGATGTGCCTGAGTGTGTCATGAAGGCAAAATACTTAAGTGGAACTGCTGTGGTTAAAGGGCTTTGCACCCTTAAACACTCTATTTTACAGTGTTATGGCTCACTTGGCAGACTTTCTGGGTCATCCCTGTAACTGAAACCTAAAGTAGACAGGACGTCCGGAGGATATCCTGTGGAAGATGGTCAAGGATGGTGGAGAAGAATCAAAACTTCCACACACCAAGGCTTTTCTTGCAAAATAAATATAGGATTCTGTTTATTTAACCCACTAAGTACTTGAGAAGACAGAGAACTAGTATCTTACCCTTGGTACAAGGGAAAATAGAATACTTGCATGAACAAAATAAGTAAGAATTAAATGGGCTTTTTAAAATGGACTTTACATTTTTTTTTTTTTTTTTTTGCAGAACTACTGAAAGTGTTTATCCATCCGAGATTCAGTTGCTGTCTTGGTGTCAAGGGTTTCACCAGAAGGGAATTGAGGGAACATCTCAAAGACCAACATAGACAGACTTTTTTAAATACTTTAACACTTTGTATACTGTTAGTTATTTATTTCTTATCTCTGTCTCTGTTGCAGATTTTCCCTTACCTTATGTCTGGTAAAACTTCTTAAATGAAGCACCAAATAGCTGTAAAAAACCTAACAAGGGTTCTAACCCTTCATTTAAAAAAAAATGTGTTGACCTAACATACACTTTAACGCTTAGCATTCTATCTTACTTTTTACATTAATGCACTTCAACCAGCATTCCGAAATGATCAAACAAAATCCTTTCTAACCTGCCACAGTGCCTGCAGGGCGCTGGAAAGGCTAGTTTCGGGCTGGTAGCATGCGGTCACAGTGTGCAACCCAAAACAGCACCTGTAAATGATGTGGTTGGATATCCCTTCCTAGTTAATGGTGTCACCAGGGCCTTCTTTAATATTGATTGGACCCTGGGCAAACATTTTCTTGGAGCCCCCTTGCAAAAATACTACAGGAGATGGGCAGAGACTGCAGACATACTACAGGAGATGGTTAGAGAGTTCAGACATAGTACAGGAGATGGTCAGAGATTGCAGACACACTACAGGAGATGGTCAGAGACTGCAGACATTGTACAGGAGACATTCAGAAACTGCAGATTTAGTACAGGAGACAGTCAGGACTGCAGACACACTACAGGAGGTGGTGAGAGACTGCACACATACTACAGGAGGTGGTCAGAAACTGCAGACACACTACAGGAGAGAGTCAGAGATTGCACACACACACTACAGGAGAGGGTCAGAGATTGCACACATACTACAGGAGATGGTCAAAGATTGCACACATACCACAGGAGATGGTCAGAGACTGCAGACATACTACAGGAAACGGTCAGAGACTGCAGCCTTTGTACATGAGATGGTCAGAGACTGCAGCCTTCGTACAAGAGATGGTCAGAGACTGCAGCCATACTACAGGAGATAGTCAGAGATTGCAGACATACTACAGGAGATAGTCAGAGACTGCAGACACACTACAGGAGGTGGTCAGAGACTGCACACATACTACAGGAGATGGTCAGAGACTGCAGACATAGTACAGGAGATGGTCAGAGACTGCAGGCATAGTACAGGAGATGGCCAGAGACTGCAGATATCCTACAGGAGATGTCAGAGACTGCAGACATTCTATTGGAACTGTCTGCAGAGTCAATAACTATAGACCTCCAAGCTTCACGGAATCAGTTTCCATGGCCGAGCAGCTGTATCCAAGCCTTACATCACCAAGTGCAATGCAAAGCATCAGATGCAGTGGTGTAAAGCACACCACCACTGGACTCTAGAGCAGTGGAGACATGTTCTCTGGAGAGATGAATCACACTTCTCTGTCTAGCCATCTGATGGTCGTGTCTGGGTTTGGCAGTTGCCAGGAGAACAGTACTTGCCTGACTGCATTGTGCCAAGTGTAAAGTTTGGTGGAGGGGGGATTATGGTGTAGGGTTGTCTTTCAGGGGTTGGTTTGGCCCCTTAGTTCCAGTGAAGGGAACTCTTAAGGCGTCAGCATTCCAAAACATTTTGGTCAATTATATGCTCCCAACTTTGTGGGAACAGTTTGGGGATGGTCCCTTCCTGTTCCAACATGACTGAGCACCAGCACACAAAACAAGGTCCATAAAGACATGGATGAACCAGTTTGGGGTGGAGGAACTTGACTGACCTGCACCTCAACCTGATAGAACACCTTTGGGATGAATTTGAGCAGAAGCTGTTATAGCTGCAAAGGGTAGGCCAACTCAATATTGAACCCTATGGGCTAAGACTGGGATGCCATTAAAGTTCATGTGCGTATAAAGGCAGGCGGTACTTACAGACTTTCTTTGGTAAGTTCTGGATATCTGGAAGCTTTTCTCCCTAAGATTTGCAAGGATCAGGAATTTCTGGTGGAGCATGTTTTCCCACCCAGGATGGGATGAACCCAGTTAGCTGCTTGCCTATTGCAGATATACTGCAGCAGAGAGGCCCACTGCCCTGGATCACATAGATGTACATGATCCGGCTCTTCCCGCTGATCCAGAACCCATTGATCAGCTGAGCAAATGACAGAAGAGAGCCCCGTGTTGCTAAAAACACAGGGCTCTCTACAGACAGCAGCAACGTGACTTTATTTTTTTCTCCCTGCAAAGCAGGGAAATAAATCAGTCAAGTTGCTTAGTAAAATCAGCACACTTTAGACATGTTAGGCATTCAGTTAACCCTTTGATTGCCCCTAGATGTTAACCCCATCCCAGCCAGTGTCATTAGTACAGTGACAGTTTATAGTATTAGCACTGTATTAGTGTCACTAGGGATGTCAGTGCCAGTTCCCATCCCACCAAGCATCAGTTAGTGTCAGATTGCCCACCGCACTATCACAGTCGCACTATAAGTTGCCGATCACTGCCATTACTAGTATAAAAAATAAAGAGATACAAATTCCAGTATATACTGTATATCATAAATCGCAGACGCAATAACTTTCACTCAAGCCAATAAACATACACTTATTGGGATTTTATTTCTATCAAAGAAATGTGGCAGAATACATTTTGGCCTAAATCTGTGAAAAATTTTAATTTTTTTTTACTGCATATATTTCATAGCAGCAAGTAAAAAATATTGTTTTTTTTCTTCAAATTCTTCCATCTTTATATAATAAGAAATAAACCCAGCGGTTATCAAATACCAACAAAAGAAATCTCTAATTGTGTAAAAAACAATTATATAAATTTCTTGTGGTTACAGTGTTGCACGACCAAGCAATTGTGGGCTAAAGTAGCAAAGTGCTGAACAGCAAAAAATGACCGGTCATGAAGGGGGTAAATTCATCCAGAACTCAAGTTGTTAAGTTATCACATAGCAGACCTGGGTGTCTTCAGCACAGAGAAAGGGGTATTAATCTAACCCAGCCTTTCTCAACCAGGGTGCCCAGGCACCCTGGGGTGCCTTCAGACTTCTTGAGGGGTGCCTTGGCAAATGCCCAAATATTGCATACAAGCCACAGGTGGATCAATGCTGCCTTTTAGTACACAAAGCCACATGTTTTCATTGTGAACTTTTATAGCCTTCTAGCTGCTAGCATCCTAACAACCAATGACATCATCAGTTGATAAGGAGGACATCGGGTGCATGCACGTCATCTTTGTTTGATCCTCTCCTGCCCCTCTCCGTCAGCACTGGGGTCACATTAGCAGAGTGAGGGTGAGAAAATGAGAGAGACACACTGGAATACTAGTTGGTACCAGGGTGCAAAGGTGTATTTGCTTTGGAAGAATAAATCACCTCAAATGTTGTATGTATTGGATGTGTGTAGAATATTTTTTTACATTTTAGATTGGGGTGCCTTGAGATTGTGCAGAATTGTGAAGGGTACCTTGAGATTATCCAAAATTTTAAAGGATGCCTTGACTGAATAAAGGTTGAGAAACACTGCTCTAACCAATGCTTCCAACCAGCAACCAACACTTTTTCTCCTGATTTGTGGAATATTTTTTCTAAACATGGAACAGTACCTCTGTTGCCTTACTATGGTGATAAGAATGTTGCCAAACTTAGTTAACATCCCTTACATGCATATTCTGCTTATATTTTACCACCTACATATGCATTACTTAACAAAATTTCCATTTACTAAAAACAGAAAGGTGTATAGAACATGTAAAGCAATAGCAAGAAGATAAGGTATACCTTAACCATAGGAACTTACTATGTGAATGGAAAAAACAGATGCATTTAATCATAGCAGGCTTTAAATGTTAGAAAGGCAATTCTCCTTTAGAACAGTGGTGCAGAACCTTTTCACATCCACAAATACAGTAAATGCAAATTAGATAGTCCACTTATACATAGTATATAAATGCAAGCTTATTCCATATAAATATTCTACAGAGCAAACTGCAAGCAATCCATAGCTACTAATAGAATTCACTTAAAGCAGTGTTAAACCCAAAAGCAAACATTTATTATATTTCAGCTTACCAATTCTTAGATATGATGGCAGCATTTGTGTTCTTTTCTAGGATTTATTTCCTTTTTTTTACATTTGGTAATCCAGTCAGTAAATCTGCTGTTTTTTAAACTAGCTATCCAGTAGAATGGATCAGTTACAGAGATGAGACAAACCGTTTAACACTAGCAAGGGTGATTAAAATAATCAGCTTTTATTTATTAATGTAGAATTTTTATCCCAAAAGGAAAAAACTGTTTGCTCTAATTGCCTAGAAAGTATTAGCTGAAGTTTGGCTTTAATCTGTTAGTGTCTTTAAATTTGCTAGTACATCTTACACTCCCCAGACTGACAAGGCTGCTGTCTAAAGGTACTCCCTTTGCTCCTTCATCCAGTGTGTAGGCACTCTAATACAGGAGGTGTGTTACTGGCAAGATCATCAGGTGAAAACAGAGGGGAAAAATCCTAAAAAAAGGAAACCTAATGCAGCCACCACAAGTTTGGTAAACTGCAATATATTACATTTTAGGTTTAACCACTTCCGCGCCACCCTATAGCAAAAATATTGCTACAGGGCTGCACGGGTGTGCAAAATCATGTATATATATGTGATACAGCAATCATGGAGATTGCTGGGTGCGTGGCCCCGGGGCACGCAGGAGAGTGCATTCTGGGAGGACGTCATATGACGTCCACCCAGAACTGGCCGGCCGCAGTGCAGTTAATAGCAAGAAATCAAATATATATATATTTTTTTTTTCAAAATTGTTGTTTGTTTTTTTTTATAGCACAAAAAATAAAAAACGCACAGGCGATCAAATACCATCGATAGAAAGCTCTACTTGTGGGGAAAAAGGACATTAATTTCATTTGGGTGCAGCGTTGCAACTGTCAGTTAAAGTAACGCAGCACCGTAACGAAGAGGGGTAAATCCTCAGGAGGGCAAGTGGTTAATAGCAAAAAGTAAAAAGTAATGGATTTTTTTTCAAAATTGTTGGTCTTTTTTTATTTTTAGCACAAAAAATAAAAAACGCACAGGCGATCAAATACCACCAAAAGAAAGATCTATTCGTGGGAAAAAAAGGACGTACATTTAATTTGGGTGCAGCATTGCATGACCGCGCAATTGTCATTTAAAATAATGCAGTGCCATAAGGCAAAAAATGGCCTGGTCAGGAAGGGGGATAAATCTTCAGGAGAGCAAGTGGTTTATAGCAAAAAGTGAAAAATATTGTTTTTTTTTTTTTTCAAAATTGTTGGTATTTTTTTGTTTATAGTTCAACGCACAGGTGATCAAATACCACCGAAAGAAAACTCTATTTGTGGAAAAAAAGGGATGTAAATTTAATTTGGATGCAGCATTGCATGACCGCGCAATTGTCAGTTAAAATAATGTAGCGCCTTAATGGAAAAAATGGCCTGGTCAGGAAGGGGGGTAAATCCTCAGGAGTGCAAGTGGTTAATACTGCTTTAACCAAAGCCATAAACGTACATTCTGCACTTTCAATTTTGCTTTGTTTTTTTACACTATTTATTTGAAAAGTAAGTTATGAATTTATATATAGGCACATGTAAATGCATGACTTCAGAAGTGGGCAGAGAGTGTAAGTGCACATCGGCAGAAACAGACACTTGCAGATCTCATTGCTGATATCCTTTTCCATAGTTACTGTATTTCTTAAAGGGTGTCCATATCAAGCAATCCTGCTTGAAGTGTATACATTTGCTACCTGGTACACTAAGATGCCCTTGTAGTAAACAATGATAAGCCTTTTTTCAAGATATTGAGTCACAGAATGCTCTATTCATATATTGTTAGACCAGGGGGGTAAGTTTTGCACAAAAATACCATAATGTGGTTATGGATGTGCTCTTTCAAATGCAAAGTAAGGTTAACAGTCAAGAATATGGCAAATATGAGTTGCAAAACCAGACAGAATTTTAGCTTGGTTAAATTGCAGGGTGCTCTTTATCCTAGGCGTATGCAACATAAGAACAGGGGACTAGTTGAACAGAGGGCTCCACACAATACTTATTAATCTGTTTATTCATGCTAATACAGGGGATTAGATCAATCAAGT